AACCGCACACGCTCCTGTCTCTCTTCCTCACCTTGCAGATCATTTCCAGGCGGCTGACTTTATACTGGCGGATGATTACCCAGGTGATGGTGGCAGCAGCAACACGCCGACGACGCTATATGCGGGCCGCGGCAACTCTAGCCGGAATTCCGGCAGCAACGGTGGTGGAGACGGAGGACGGCGCGGAGGTCGTGGAGGCCGCAATCACCGTGGTGGTGGACGTAACAATCGTGGTGTACCACGTTGTCAAATTTGCAGGTGTCAAGGACACACAGCGGTTTACTGTTATAAACGATACACCACGCAACCTCCTGCTCAGGCACATGTTGCGGTTTCCGGTGAGTCCCAGGCAACATCCACACCGCCGGCTGACGCGTGGTACCCCGACACAGGTGCTACGACGCATGCCACTCCAGATGCTGGCATGATGGCCTCCTCTGAAGATTACGTTGGCCGACACACTCAGGGTTGGAAATGGTACAGGTTTAGTTATCTCGTGAGTGGGCCATGCATCAATCCCTACAAAATCTAAACACTTGTTTCTATCGAATATTTTACATGTCCCGAAATTAACAGTTCCATTATTATCAGTTCAAAAATTCGCTAATGAAAATGGTGTTTTTTTTGAATTTCATGGTAATCATTTTCTTGTGAAGGATTCCACAACTCAGGCAGTGCTTCTTAAAGGCCCCACCTCCGGAGGACTATACAAGCTTCCTGTTTCCCGGAGTTAGTTCGCATTCGTGAGTACCCGTGCTACGCCGTCAACTTGGCACCGTAAGCTCGGGCATCCACACAGTTTGGTCCAGAATAAAATCCTACAGCACAGTTCGGTCACCAAAAATAACATTAGTTTCGGGTCATGTACGGCTTGCCACCTTGGCAAGTCTTCTAGGTTTAAATTAGATAGGGTACACAATTCGAGTGAAAATATTCTAGACTTATTGTATACAGACATCTGGGGTCCAGCTCCAGTACTCTCGTCTAGTGGTTTTCGCTATTTTCTTTTATTTGTTGACGACTACTCCCGTTATTGCTGGTTTTATCCATTAAGGGTAAAATCAGACATTTATAAAATATTTGATATGTTTCGTGTGTTGGTAGAGTGGCAGTTTTCGCGCTCTATCAAATCTATTCAGTCGGACTTAGGGGGTGAGTACCGAAAACTACATACCACCTTCCAGTCCCTTGGCATTAATCATCGCCAATCTTGTGCTTACACGCACGAACAAAACGGAAGAGTCGAGCGCCGCAACAGGCATGTCATTGAAACAGGTCTGGCTCTTATGGCCCAAGGGTCGGTCCCCCAACAATATTGGGACCACGCATTCGAAACAGCCACGTGCTTAATTAATTATCTCCCGTCATCGGCTTTACAATTTGAAAGCCCGTACTTCCGAGCCCACAAAAAGCTACCACCCTATCAATTCTTACGAGTCTTCGGGTGCTTATGTTACCCCTATCTAAGGCCGTACAATCGGCATAAGATAGAGTTTCGTTCCACTGTCTGTGTTTTCCTTGGCTACCCACCGTCTTTTCGAGGGTATAGGTGCATGGACCTAACTAGTGGGAAAACTTATATCTGTCGCCATGTGCGATTTGACAAGTCGATTTTCCCTTTTGCTGCAGGTACAACACCACGGGTTCGTGAGCCACAATCCGCACCATGGGCTTCTGGACCAATAATTCTAGTACCCGCTGTGCATACTCCTACTGTTGTACCACGTGACTCGGACCTTGTGCCGTTAGCTCAGGAGACCCCGCTTTTAGCCATTGAGCCTGCTACACTGGCAACTCGAGGTCGAGGTCGGGGTCGGGGTCGAGGTCGAGGCTGAGGTAGAGCTCAACCTCAGGAAAGGGACCACAACATGCGGCTTCGTCACATGACTCACGGCACTACTGAGGAGTTTCAGGCCTTAGTAACAGTCACAGCTGACCCAACGTGTTACTCTCAGGCTGTGGGCCACCCGCACTGGCGGGATGCTATGGATCAAGAGTTCAACTCTCTCCTCCATAACAACACCTGGCGGCTTGTTCCACCCGAACCAGACATGAATATAATCGGGTGCAAGTGGGTGTTTCGCACGAAGCGCATAGCTGATGGCGCAGTTGAACGGCACAAGGCACGCCTTGTTGCTAAGGGTTTCAATCAGGTAGCCGGCGAAGACTTCTTCGACACCTTTAGCCCGGTGGTCAAGCCAACGACGGTTCGCATGTTACTATCATTGGCTACCACCCATAAATGGACCCTACGGCAACTGGACGTCCACAATGCCTTCCTGAATGGGCACTTAGCTGAAACAGTCCACATGAAACAACCACCTGGGTATGAAGATCCAGCTCACCCAGATCACGTCTGTTTGCTCCAGCGGTCTCTGTATGGTCTGAAGCAGGCACCGCGGGCCTGGTTCAAACAGCTGCATGATTTTTTACTCACTACAGGGTTCTGTGCGTCGAAGACGGATGTCTCTCTATTCTACTACAACGCGGATGAGTCTCGCGTCTACCTCCTGGTCTATGTAGACGACATCATCATGATGGGCAATAATTCCTCATTGGTTAACACATTACTTAACCGTCTAGCTGCAGCTTTCAAAATCAGGGACCTCGGCAAACCGGGCTTCTTTTTGGGTATTGAGACATTACACACAAGTGCAGGAATGGTCTTGTCCCAGCGGCGTTATATGAATGATTTGTTGAACAGGGCCGGAATGACAGATTGCAAACCTCTAGCAACTCCAGCATCCACTACGCAAGCGGTTACCCCGTCTGATGAGCTGTTTGATAATCCCACTCAGTACCGTCGCATAGTCGGCGCCCTGCAGTATCTCATTATCACTCGTCCGGACTTATCTTATGTTGTTAACCGCTTATGTCAATTCATGCACTCACCGACTGTTGATCACTGGGGCATGGTCAAACGCGTGTTACGTTATATCAAGGGCACTGTGGATTATGGGCTTCGACTGTCGGCTTCCACTTCTACCTCGATTCAGGCATATTCTGACTCCGATTGGGCTGGCTGTCCGGTTGATAGGAAGAGCACCAGTGGGTATGCAGTCTTTCTTGGGTCCAATCTCAACTCCTGGCTTTCCCGGAAGCAACGGACTGTGGCCCGCTCGTCGACTGAAGCAGAGTATAAAGCCTTAGCTGATGTGGCAGCTGAGGTTACGTGGGTTGTCTCTCTTCTCCGTGAGTTGGGTCTACATACGGGTCAGCCGTCCAGTTTGTGGGTGATAATTTAGGGGCGAGGTACCTCTGTGCTAATCCGGTTTTTCACGCCAGGACGAAGCATGTTGAGATCGACTACCACGTCCGTGATAAAGTAGCGACAGGGGAGTTTGTGTTTAATTTTGTTTCAACCAAAGACCAGCTTGCTGACATTCTCACCAAACCGCTTCCAGGGACGCGGTTCGTGGCTCTCCGAGACAAGCTCAATGTGGTTCGTCACCAGCCTTGTGCTTGAGGGGGTGTGTGAGTATTATTATTATTATTATTATTATTATTATTATTCTGCAATCTATAGTTTGTAATATGTGGCTTTAGAATAAGTCTTTAGTTTGTATCCTGATAGATAGGAGAGATTAGAGGTGTACTGAGATATACACTCGTGTAATCTCTCACAGTTACAACTGAATTGAAACTTTGAACTTCCATCACTATGAACCATACGACATTAAATAGAATGATTTAATTCCTCAACAACAACAACAACAATAATCCATTCCACAAACATAAATTTTCATTATTGTTCCCAAACATACATTTTCATGGCTATATTATTAGAGGAATTGGATCAAACAAAGCAGCATGGATACGATTATTAGTCTCTAAGTTCCTGAAGCTTTGCCCATCTCCATATTGATACATGCACAGAGATACTCTGCCAACATTCTGTGTAACTGGAACGAATGTTTTAGGGAAAGTGTCATCTTCAAAAAGAAATTTATTGATTTTATTCCATGTTTCATTGATATGACCATCAACGTAATCACGAGCCTCTTCAAAAGAGACTTTAGCCTCATTTGCGTAACATTGTATTGCTTTTGGTACATCACCCCTTTTCATCTCATACTGAAATCAAAGAAAAATAAAGAAATATATGATTATACATATAGCAGTAATTAGCCAATGACCTTGTGTTCAGGTAGCATGAAATGACTCTCCCGGATGTCATGAGTTCGAGCATCAGGGATCGATATTAATTAACTCTTTGTGGCTGGTATGGGCAACACAGTAGTGCATATATACAGTAGTGACTAATGTTCGACTCCCAGCAGGAGTAGTCAATTGACTACTCTTTGTGGCTGTACGGGCAACACAATGTATACAATAGTGACTAATGCTCGACTCACAGCGAGACCATCAATTGGCTGGTATGACTAATGAGTGCATACAGTAGTGACTAATGTTTGAACACAGTGCATACAGTAGTGACTAATGACTGACTCCTAGTGAGAGTAGTCGTCAATTGGCTGGTATGACTAATGGGTGCATACAGTAGTGACTAATGTTTGAACACAGTGCATACAACAATGACTAATATTCGACCCCAACGGGAGCAATCAATTGACTCGAATATAAGCAACATAGTGCATACAATAGTGACTAATGTTCGAACACAGTGCATACAATAGTGACTAATGCCTGACTCCTAGTGAGAGTAGTCGTCAATTGGCTGGTATGATACATTAAAAGAAACATCGTCACATGTTTTCAATTGTGTTGGAAATGCAGTCAGCTTTAATGTAAAAGTAAATGCTTCTACCTACCAAATGATAGATGTGATTTGTGAATGGTGAGAAGAAGGTAGTATGCAAACATCTCATGTTCCCAATATTCAACACTCTACTATGCACTGGATAAATCTCGACTTGTGATCTTTGCCGGTAAATGAGTAAAAGAACCACAAGGGCAAACCAACATAGATTATCCATAACTGATCAGTTCAAACTAAAAAAGCTGAAAATCGAAATTGTAACCTTATGGTTACCACGACAAACCATCGCGTAAACATTTTCATAAGGGCTATATTAGAGGAATAGGTTCAAAGAGTAGAGTTTGGATACGAGTCTGAGTCTCAAAATTATTGATGCCATGCCCATCTCCATGTTGATACATGCACTGAGCCATTCTGCCAGTGTTCATCGCAGCTTCAATGAATGTTCCGGAGAAAGGGCTACCACCTTCAATTCCAACTTTATTCATTTTCTTCCATATCTCATTCATCTCCAAATCAATGAAACCACGAGCCTCGTTCACAGAAGCTTTAGTCTCACCCATGTAACATTGTATTTTTAAAGAAAATAACGAGTAAAGAACTTGCATATGTATATCTCCAAGAATATTAAAAACAAAAAAAACATAAAGACATACATATAATAATATAGAAAAAGTTTAGTAATAATCAAGAATATAAAAGAACTGAGGCAACCCGGCCCAGTCATACCGTTGGTTTAAGAAACACAAGGTCCAAGTTCAACTTCCCGTGACATATTGACTTTCTTAATTTGAATTGGTCAGTTATGATTTTATATATGGACAACTTAGATTGTTTAATTTATTGTTGTCCTTTGTTAGTTAGGGTCGACTTTCTTGATTTGAGTTGATTTGCTATGGACAATATAAGCTGTTTTACTTTCTTGTACTTTTTTTTTGCCAGTTAAGGTCACAAGATAAGATTGACCCCATGCACAACACCGGGTAGTGATTGTGGGTTGCCCTTATCGTCAAAAAATTTTTATTGTACCAAAAACTTGTGTTAGACACTGAGACCGTCTCACTATAAGACTGGATTGGACGGGTCGGATCAAAATAAAAATGTAATACTTATACACATAAATGTAATGCTAGTTAAAAATAAAGTATTTATTACTTATATGAGGAAATTTAATACTTTTACATTTTGATTTAAAAGTATTACATTTTTTCTCAAAAAAGTATTATATTTTCTCTTATAAGTAAGAGATACTTATCAACATTACTTATTATTAGGGAAAATGTAATACTTTTGATGGAAAATAATATTACATTTTCGCTTATAAGTAACAAACATTTGAGTATATATTTATGACATTTGCATGTTGATCCAACCCGTTTCACGGATAAGGATCCGTAAGATGATCTCACACAAGTGACAAATGTAACACAATTCAAAACAAAATTAATCAGGGGTGTTCATCAATGTTCATCAATTTTTGCCGGCAAATTATGTTGTGGTGGACACGGTTCCAAAATTGTTCGTAATTATGAATATATAGTTCAAAAATTATGAACATATGTTCTATAATTATGAACATAGGGTTTTGAACATAATTATGAATATATAGTTATGTAATTATGAATATAGAGATTCAATAATTGTGAATATAAAGTTCAAAAATTATGAATATAGCTTTATAATTATGAACATAGAATTCTGTAATTGTGAATATAGAGTTCAAAAATTATGAACATGAAGTTCAAAAATTATGAATATATAGCTTTATAATTATGAACATATAGTTCAGTAATTATGAATATAGAACTGTATCCACCTTGCAAGGTGGACACAGTTCCACAACATAAAGATTGATTTTTGCCCGCACCTTCTTGGTTAAGCCCATCATACCTAATTTGTCTAGTGTGTTGTTTACCTTTCATGTAGTTTAAGATCTATTATCCAGAGCATCATCATATAGTGGTTGTGAATTTCCTTAAAATCCCAAAAACAAATCGAATTAAAAAAATTAAAAAGGAATTTATACATACAGGTGAGGTGCCTTTATCATTTGCAAGACGAAGGATCATAGCTGACAGACGGATTATTTCATGATAATCTGTCAAGCAATTGTGGGCAGCAACATCATCCACTGGGTTGTTGACATAGAAAAACCCATGAACTAATATTAGAGGACAACTTATTGAAATCCATGAATTTTTAATGTATTCTTCAAAGGTTGGGGTGTATCCACTGTGGTACCACTTTGCTTCTTGTAAATATGCCTTGCATAGATCTGCCCACTGTTCATGCACTCATAAAAAAAATTAAAATTTAAATTATATAACGTGATATTAGTTATTAATTAATTGATTAAAATTAGATTTATAATTTTTAATTAAAATAATAAAAAAAATACCGCTTTTTTGAGGTAATGTGCAATAGAGATGCCATGTTCCTTAGAAACATCGAATGCGACTTCATTGACGAAGTTGTTGAGTGCCAAATAGCAAAACCTCATGTATTCTGGGAGATGTCCTATTTCTGTAACATCAACCCATCTGAAAAATTTGAATTTGTGCATCAGTTTAATGCTTAATATGCGCCCAACCGCACAACCGCACGGGAAATCATTCCCGCACTTATCCCTTCCCTATATATATATATATATATATATATATATATATATATATATATATAAAAGGTTACCTTTCAATGGTATCAGTGAAGAGCTGCAATTCATCCAAGGTACCATAAACATCATACATATCATCAATTGTGCAAATGAAACAATTGAGCTTTGCTCCTATTTTTCTGCAGTTTACATACTTAGGGTCGGAGCTCGAACCGACTGTCCAAAAGAAATTCTCTACCACTCTATCCCTCACAAATGTTAATCTTTCTGGTATTAGTGATTTCTTCCACCACCTGAATTGCAAGGTTAATTTAGAGTAAAGTAAACAAGAATAGCTTAGCCTAACTAAAGTATTTATGATAGTAACTCAACTTAGAATGAGTCAAAGGCATTATGTGGTTGTTTTATCCCAAAAAAAATTTAAAAATAAAAAGGAGGATAATTTAGTGATTGACTGGTTTAAGGTTACCCTACATAGTAAGGCGTAACCAGGGATGGATATGATCCAGAAATTTTCTCCAGTGGGGGCAAAATTAAAGGTTAAAATTATTGAGATATTTAAAAAAAAAAAAATTAAACAAGAAAAAAAAAAAAGAAAGAAGAAGTCACAATGTTACAAATAAAAAATTCAATTAGAATTGTCACTATTAATATTAAAAATGTCAAAATCAAAATATCACTCATCTCACTATTAATATTAAAAAATGGGGGTGGGGTGGGAGGAAGAAATCACAATGTTACAAATAAAAAAGCTAATTAAAATTCTCACTATGATATTAAAATATTCGAATACAAAATTAAGTGCTTTAGGGTTCAAACCACGGATCATTTCATATTATATATGGAAATAATGACCTTACCATCTAAGTCAAATTACCCTTTGCTTAAATTTTGGTATACTTAATATATATACAATATATGTTGGGTGAGAGAATGGGGACAGATACCCCACTGTGACTCCTCACTGGGCGTTACCTTGGGCAAGGGCAGACTGGGCCTTGCCTAAGACACAATGCTGAAAGGGTTCTAATAATCTAGTGTCTTTTTTTTTTTTTTTTTTTTTTTTTCAAATTTATGACTTTATATTTATTTTTGTTTTACTTTGTTCGGGCCTATACAATGATAGGACCAACCCTAACTCCCACCGGTAACCTACATATATACCTTGACATAAATTTTAAGTCCTCCATATGCAAAGCTTGAACAATGTTGAAGTCTAATTTAGCCAACTCCAAAAGGATGTGGTATCTGAGGTTGGTTTTTCATTGACCTTAAGTATTCAATAACTCATATCTCTCCACACGATAATAGGGTTGATGCAATAGCATATATATATATATATATATATATATATATATATATATATATAAAAGCTCAAATGCAACGAGACACCAATAGTACGTGTTCCAAAACGTGCGGTCAGTGCGGCCTCATCATTAGTTATGCAAAAACGCACCTATAGTGTCAAAAAATGCACCATGAGGTACACATCACCCCAAAACGCATAAAAGCACCACACAGTGTTCGAAAATGCACCATTAGGTGTGATGAGATATGATGCATTTTTTGATGTGTGGTGCATTGGTGCATTTCCTTTTTGTGCATTTCTTAACACTATTGGTGCATTTTTACACAACTAATGGTAAAACTGCACTGAGCACGTTAAGATCGGGCCGCGCGCGCTAACATGGCCCTATATATATGTGTATGTATATATATATATAATGGTGACTTACCTGGACACGGATCTCAAATCCTCTAGATACACAGCTTGAGCAATGTTGAAGTCTACTTTAGCCAAGTCCAAAAGGGTGGAATTATTGGAGGTTGTTTTCCCTAGGTCGAAGGAATCAATGTAGAATCTAGCCTCCATCCTGGGGACCCTCCAGTGCAATGGGAGGGCTAAGGCACGTTGGACATGTGGCAATAGTTTGGGGTCATTGAGGTTTTGGTCATGGTTGATGACCTGTTTGAGATGCTTGCCAGAGAAATCTCTAGCCACTTCCAAAATTGTATCATCTTCCTTTGATAGAAATGATGCTTCATATAAATTCAGCAATCCCTTGGTATCTTCACCAAGTTTGGGATTAAAACCAAGCCTCTTCCCATCCATGAAACCCTCAAATACCTCTGCATGCATGCAAATTAATTAGATGTTAATGAATTCATAATGTTATATATATATATATAGAATTGTTGGGCAAAAGGGTCAAATACATGCATACATCCCTTCCCATGAGTTCGTGTGGACAGAGTTGGACCATGTGTGGACAGAACTGGACCATTGAATAGTTGAGATCAACTTAGATTTCACCAACTGTCACGCAACTGTACGTTCGTGCATTTCATTTGCATAGTTCGCGATGCTTATAGAAATCTATATCATTAATCTCAAGCATTCAATGATCCAGATCTGTCCACGTGGACTCATGGGAAGGGTGGACTCATTTGATCATGAGTCTATATATAGAGAGAATTATATTATTATATTATGACCTGGAGAAATATCAAAGCCATTTTGTCTGAGAATTCTAAACTCAAGAGCTGTGGAATACAGGTCCTTCTCTTCTGATGATTTGAAATTATTTCCACTCTTCTGCGCATAGATATCCGTCAAAACTGCATTGATTTCGTCCTGAAAATGGTAAGAACAATCAAACTTCTGCAGCTGATCAATCATCTCTATTTTCTCTGCTTCTTTAATCTCTCCATCATTCAGCATATCTTGCACTTTCTCCTTCAACTTGTCGCGCCGCGTAACAAACCTCTCACCCTGCAACCGTTAAGAATGTTACCCAGAAAGTAACTATGAATATAAGAGTAGTAAAGATGATAAACATATATATATATATACAGATAATTGGTTACAGTATAAGAATTGGTGTTGAGTGATTGAATGTAATTGAAATCCCATGTGGGAGGCCCATAATTTCCAGATTTTCTTGGAATTGTTGTTGTTTTTGTTGTGGTCTGATAAGACATGCGAAAGGAAGAGATATGAGATCTTGGAGGGGAAGGAAGTTTGTGTGTGAAAGAAGAAAGCACATTCGCAATTGAAGCCATTGAAGAACACTTGTTTTTTGCTTTATCACTGGATAGTTATGGAGGATTGTGAGTTTTGGGTTGCCACTTAGCCAGCTTTTATAGAGAAATCGAGTTAATACCCAAAATCGTCCTCGACTATAGTGGTTTTTCTCAATTTCGTCCTAAACGACTTTGGTGGCCTAATATTGTCCCAGACTTTTGTGTTTCGCTCAATTTAGTCCTCCATTTGTTATTCCGTCAAATTGGTGTTAAATAAAGGGACAATTCAATAATGTCAATATTGATCTCTCTTTACTTTCAACTTGTGAAGTGCGAAATTCCTCTTTCTTGTACAAATTACATCCAGAATTACTCCCGAACCTGCAAATCAAATTTTATATTCGCAGTTTTAGGAGTCATTCTGGGGGTAATTCGTAAAAAAAAAAGGGATTTCGCAGTTCACATGTCTATGAGTAAAGAGATGCCAATATTAAAATTACTGAATTGTCTATTTATTTAACACCAAATGGAAGAATAACAAATGAGGGACTAAATTGAGCAAAAACACAAAAGTCTGGGACTAAATTGAGCGAAACACAAAAGTTTGGGATGATATTAGGTCACCAAAGTCGTTTAGGACGAAATTGAGAAAAATCACTATAGTCGAGGACGATTTTGGGTATTAACTCTAGAGAAATCATACAGAGTGAATATCCTGCATGTCTCCGATACCAATTCAACTGTGTTCTATGTGTTCTAATAATAATGTTATTATAATATTATTAACCACGTGTTTTATTTTTATTTTTTTATTTTTTATGACAGCTAACCGGTTTAGTTATTGTTAATTAGTGTAATTAAGTTAGTGGGTTAATGGATTGTTTAATTAAAGTTAGAGGGGTAATGGGTGTTAGTGCGTGGTTAGTTTAACAATCAACACTACTACCAAAGAACTTGTGGTCCAATAGTATCAAGTTGAATTCGCTTGAGTAGAAACGCTATTGACTCTCTATTCTTCAGTAGGTTGAGAAAGTAGTTATGAACAGATACTGTATTGTAATAGAGCAACACTGATAAATATAATACTACTAACTACAATTATTACAGTGATGCACTTTTGCACAGGTGCATCATGGCAAATTCTTCCACATAATTTTATATCCTAGCAGTCCAATCGTTATGCTGTGGAATAGGTGGACATGATTCTATGTTCATAATTATTGAATTATATGTTTATAACTATAAAGTTATATATTCATAATTTTTGAACTTCATATTCATAATTATCCAACTCTATATTCACAATTACAGAACTCTATATTCATAATTACTGAACTATATGTTCATAATTATAAAGCTATATATTCATAATTTTTAAACTTCATATTCACAATTATTTAATCTCTATATTCATAACTACAGTACTATATATTCATAATTATATTTACAACTCTATGTTCATAATTATAGAAGTATATATTTATAATTTTTGAACTATGTATTCATAATTATGAATAGTTTTAAAACTATGTTCACAGTTCCACATTATAATTTGCCCAAGCAGCCCAATCGTTATGCTATGGACCCGTGTCCAGCATGCAATATGGACACGGTAACAGTGCCGTTAGTGGCACCGTTATCTTCCATTTTTTTTAATTTCAGACCGTTTCGTTATAGGAGTATATGTTCATAATTTTATCACTATATGTGCATAATTGTAAGTTCATAATGTCAGAGCTCTGTGTTCATAATTTCATAACTGTACATTCATAATTCTGTAACTGTACATTCATAATTCAATAACTGTAAATTCATAATTTTCAAAGCTCTATGTTCACAATTTTAGAGCTCTATGTTCATAATTTTATCACTGTATGTTCATATTGTAAGTTCATAATGTCAGAGCTCTGTGTTCATAATTGCATAACTGTACATTCATAATTCCATAACTGTACATTCATAATTCTATAACTGTACATTCATAATTCCATAATTGTACATTCATAATTTTTGAAGCTCTATGTTCACAATTTTAGAGCTCTGTGTTCATAATTTTATCACTATATGTTCATAATTGTAAGTTCATAATGTCAGAGTTCTGTGTTCATAATTTCATAACGTACATTCATAATTCCATAACTATACATTCATAATTCCATAACTGTACATTCATAATGCCACAAACGAATAACGTCGTTAACGACGAGACAAAATCAATTTTATTTTTTAAACTAGAATGCTACATTTTTCTTGAAAACGACGTCGTTTTGGACTCGTGTCCACAATGCAGTATAGACACGAGTCCACGGCATAATTTGCGCAAGAAGCCCCATGCGGTCGAATATAAAATAGCTATATAAAAGGCTCAAAAATCTGAAATACAAGGCAATTGTCTCCCACGTGACTTTATCTACATTATTATCTACAAATAGCCATATAAAAGGCTCAAAAATCTAAAATACAAGGCAATTGTCTCCCATGTGACTTTCTCAAAAAAGAAAGTAAAAAAAAAAAAAAAAAAAAAAAAAAAAACTCAGCGACTGCTATGGAATCAACCTGCACACAAACCAAAAAATGCTAATATAAGGACAGTTTTTGAGCCACGTGCAGATCTTACGTTGACCGAGGCCCATGATTCTTGCCTGATATACCATTGTTCCGGCCAGTATCTCGCCGGAGAAGATGTATAGACAAAAAAGACGGTGGATAATCAAGATTGCCTGCATTAAAAAAAAAAAGGGCTTTTGCTTTGTATTTCAAATGGCACTGCAAGCTGTTACAAGCTTTACGGTGTGTTTGGTTGGAAAGAAGGAATTAAGGGAGAAAGGAATTGTAATTCGGTAGGAAAAGAATAAGGTGGGAATAAAGTATGAATTACAATTACATTGTTTGGTAGGGAGAAATAATGAAAATGAGAGAAGTGATATAAAGACTAAAATACCCTTTGCGCAATAATATTAATAATAACATTCAAGGATAAATATGTCTTTTTCTTCTCTTTCCCTTTGCATGAATTCATTGAATTGCAATTCATAGGGGACCTGTGAATTGCAATTCAATGAATTGAGGGAATTGCAATTCTATGGAATTGTCATTCCCTCCAACTAAACAATGTAGTTTATCATTTTATTGAATTGCAATTCAACTCCAACGCAATTCATGCCAACCAAACACCCCGTTATTGTATATTCAGGCCATCCATGGTGCCTTGATAATGTATATGCGTCTACCACGTGCGTATTATGCCATATAGCAAAATAGAAAAGTCGTACTTGGGACTTGCGTAAGATGTATTTTATACATTTCACAATCATTATTGTATGGGTCATGGTTCACACAAGTTGTATGAATCATATTTTGTATATTATAAAATAATATACATTTTGTACAAAAATAATGTACATTCAGTATAAAAATAATGTACATTGTATTCAGAAGATGTACATTATTTTTGTACTAAGTGTACATTATACTATATAATGTACATACAATAGAAAATAATATACATTTAGTATATTAAAAATATACTTTTTTATTATGGTCCATATAATAGTCTACACAATAATTTATCTTTTATTCTGGTTCCCAGAAATATTATTGTTTTGGCATAATTTTAAGCGCTTAATCTTGATAAAAGTTAGGCCTTTCAGAGTATGGATCCTTCCCAACTTTATGGTACATTTTGTTTCTCATTTACTCATTGGGTACCCATAGTGTTTAGACACTTTGACATATATATTCAGTACCAACCATACGCCATTAAATAGAATGATTTAATTCCTCAACAACACCAATAATCCATTCCACAAGCATACATTTTTATTGTTCACAAACATACATTTTCATCATGGCTATATTATTAGAGGAATTGGATCAAACAAAGCAGCATGGATACGATTATTAGTCTCTAAGTTCCTGAAGCTATGCCCATCTCCATATTGATACATGCACAGAGATACTCTGCCAACATTCTGGGTAACTGGAACGAATGTTTTAGGCAAAGTGTCATCTTCAAATAGAAATTTATTGGTTTTATTCCATGTTTCATTGATATGACCATCAACGTAATCACGAGCCTCTTCGAAAGATACTTTAGCCTCATTTGCGTAACATTGTATTGCTTTTGGTACATCACCCCTTTTCATCTCATACTGAAATCAAAGAAAAATAAAGAAATATGGTTTTATATATAGCAGTAATTAGCCAATGACCTTTTGGTCAAGTAGCATGAATTGACTCTCTCAAATAGCTAGGAGGTCATGACCCATGAGTTTGAGCTAAGGGTCTGGTATTGACTCTTTGGGGTTAATATGGCCAACAAAGTGCATACAATAGTGATTAATGTTCGAGTCCTAGCTAGCAGGAGCAGTCAATTGACTCTTTGTAGTTGGTATGGGCAACACAATGCATACAATAGTGACTAATGCTCGACTCCTAGCGAGAGCAATCAATTGGCTAGTATGACTAGTGAGTGCATATAGTAGTGACTAATGTTTGACTTCCAATGAGAGCAGTCAATTGACTGGTATGACTAATGAGTGCATACAATAGTGACTAATGTTCGACTCCCAGCAGGAATAGTCAATTGACTCTTTGTGGCTGGTATGGGCAACACAGTGCATACAGTAGTGACTAGCTAATGTTCGACTTCCAGTGAGAGCAGTCAATTGGCTGGTATGACATCAGTGACTAATGTTAATGTTAGACTCTCAACGGGTGCATAGGCAACATAATGCATACAATAGTCACTAGTGTTCAACTCCCAACGAGAGCAGTCAATTGGCTGGCTGGTATATGGACAACACAGTCATACAATAGGGACTACAAGTTTCGCTCCTAACCCAAAATAAATAAATAAAGAGTTTATACTTACATTTGAAGTTCCTTTATCATTTGGAAGACGGAGGAGGATAGATGACAAGCGAACTATTTCAGGGTACTTTGTGAGGTATTGTATGTCACTCTCCTTCAGTGGGTTGTTGACATGGATAAAAGCATGCAGTAATACTAGATTATTTCCTATTGACATCCATGCATTTTCAATGTAGTCTTCGTAGGGTGGGATCACTCCACTGTGGGCCCATTTTGCTTCTTGTAAGTGTGCTTTGCAAAGGGCCAATCACTACTCATGCATTCAAAACGAGTAAAATTAAATGAGAACATAATTTTTCTATAAAAAAAAAAAAAAAAAAAGTAAAGGCTAATCCCGATTGTCAATCAGGATTTGAAAAAAAAAAGAAAAAAAAAAAGAAATACCTCTTTTCGTAGATAAGGTATAATAAGGATATTATGTTCTTTAAGAATATCATATGCTACTTCGTTAACAAAGTTGTGGAGTGCAAAGTAACAAAACCGCATCTTCTCTGGGAGATGCCCAACTTCTGTTACATCGGGCCACCTGAAATAATAAAGATGTTATATAATTTGAATATCGTTTTGAACAAAATTCATAATATAATACAAAGTACTACACCTTAATTCATGATATAATGATAAGTTTTAGGTTAATAAGACATGAAATGATCGTTACATAAAAGAGATAGAATGAATTAATATATTATATAGTTACCTTTCAACGGTATCGGTGAAGAGTTGCAATTCTTCTGTAGTACCATAAATGTCATACAAATCATCAACCGTGCAAAGAAGAATGTCGAGCTTGCCCACTGTTCTTCTGCCATTTGAATGCTTTGGGAAGGGTGTTTTGCCAGTGCCCATATGAAATTCTCCACCGCTCTATCCCTCACGAATTCCATCTTTTCAGTAATACATGAATCCTTCCACCACCTGTTTTAGGAATCATTACGGCCCGCACGAGCTTAGCGTTCAGTAGGCAATATTTGAGACAGAAAGAAGAAGAAATTATTGCAAAATACAATAATATATATGTCAGCTCAAATGCGGTCAGACACTAATAGTGTTACAAAATGTGCTGTCAATGCGGTCTCATCATTAGTTATGCAAAAATGCACCAATAGTGTTAAAAAAACGCACAAAAATTAAATGCACCACAAAGCGCACCATCAGGTACGCATCACCACAAAACGCACCGGCATAAATTACTACTGGAGATTATGCAATTTCCGACCACCTGAAAGTGATCTTAAATCAAGTCGAAAGCCTTGTTCCGACCACTTTTGGTATCTGGAAAAACCTTTGCTGCTATTTCCGACCACTTTTTGCTTTCAACTTGATTTAAGATCACTTTCAGGTGGTCGTAAATTCCATAACTTCTAGTAGTGAATGCACCACACGGTGTTTGAAAACGCACAGTGAGGTGTGGTGAGATATGGTGCATTTCATTGTTGTGCGTTTCTTAATTAAAACTATTAGTGCATTTTTTCATATAACTAATGATAAAGCTGCACTGACAGCACCTTCAGATCGGGCTGCACTGGAACTTGGCCATATATATAGGGACTTGCCTGGACACGAATTTCAAATCCTTTAGATACACAGCTTGAGCAATGTTGAAGTCTACTTTAGCCAAGTCCAAAAGGGTGGAATTATTGGAGTTTGTTTTTCCTAGGTCAAAGGAATCAATGTAGAATCTAGCCTCCATCCTGGGCACCCTCCAGTGCAATGGGAGGGCTAAGGCACGTTGGACATGTGGCAATAGTTTGGGGTCATTGAGGTTTTGGTCATGTTTGATGACCTGTTTGAGATGCTTGCCAGAAAAATCTCTAGCCACTTCCAAAATTGTATCATCTTCCTTTGATAGAAAGGATGCTTCATATAAGTTTAATAATCCCTTAGTATCTTCACCAAGTTTGGGATTAAAATCAAGCCTCTTCCCATCCATGAAACCCTCAAATACCTCTGCATGCATGCAAATCAGATGTTAAAAGAATTCATAATGTTATATATATATATATATATATATATATATATATATATATATATATATATATATAATTGTTGGGCAAAAGGGTCAAATACATGCATACATCTCTTTCCATGAGTTTGCGTGGACAGAGCTGGGCCATCCTTTCCTATGAGTTCGTGTGGACAGAGCTGGACCATTGAATAGTTGAGATCAATGGCTTAAATTTCACTACTGTGCAACAGTAACTGCGCAACTGTACGTTCACTTCACTTGCATAGTTCGCGATGCTTAGCGATAATCTCAAGCATTCAATGACCCATCTGTCCATATGACTCAGGGGTATATATATAGAGAATTATATTATTATATTACAACCTGGAGAAATATCAAAGCCATTTTGTCTGAGAACTCTAAACTCAAGAGCTGTGGAATACAGGTCCTTCTCTTCTGATGACTTGAAATTGTTATAACCACTCTTCTTCGTATAGATATCCGTCAAAGCTGCATTGATTTCGTCCAGAAAATGGTAAGAACAATCAAACTTCTGCAGCTGATCAATCATCTCTATTTTCTCCGCTTCTTTAATCTCTTCACTGTTCAGCAAATCTTGCACTTTCTCCTTCAACTCGTCGCGCCGCGTAACAAACCTCTCACCCTCAACCATTAAGAATGTTACCCAGAAATTAAGTATGAATATAAGTGTAGTAAAGATGACACTGCTGGAAATTATGGAATTTCCGACCACCTGAAAGTGATCTTAAAAGTTAAATCAAGTCAAAAGCCTTGTTCCGACCACTCTTGGTATTCGGAAAAATCTTTGTTGCTATTTCCGACCACTTTTTGCTTTCAACTTTATTTAAAATCACTTTGAGGTGTCGGAAATTACATAATTTCCAGCAGTGTGATAAATATATAGATAATTGCTTACAGCATAAGAATTGGTGTTGAGTGATTGAATGAAATTGAAATCCCAGGTGGGAGGTCCATAATTTGCAGATTTTCTTGGAATTGTTGTTGTTGTTGTGGTCTGATAAGACATGCGAAAGGAAGAGGTATGAGATTTTGGACGGGAAGAAAGTTTGTGAGTGAAAGATGAAAGCACATTCGCAATTGAAGCCATTGAATAACACTTGTTTTTCCTTTTAATTTGTTTACTTTATCACTGAATAGTTATGGAGGATTGTGAGTTTTGGGTTGCCACTTAGCCAGCTTTTATAGAGATATCAATTTAGCTATGGGTTTCCGTCAACCTATAAATGGACCAATCAAAAGAAGATATCAGAAACTTTGCATGCATGTTGCTTATAGATCACTGTTAGCCAATCGGAAGAAACTCTTACCTCCCGGCCAACCAATTCAACCACCGGCTAAATAGACCAACCAGAAGAAGCTCTGATCTCCCAACAGCTAAATGGACCAATTAACAGGAACAACTGAACAAACTTTGCATGCATGCATGCAGATAATATAATTCATGCAGTTGACGACCAATTGGAAGAAGCCGTGGCCTGATCTCCCGGCCAACCGCTAAATGGACCAACTGGAAAACAAGCTTTGCAGGTATGCTCATTAACAGAGAAACATGATACATTAAAAGAAACATCATCGTCCAATGTTTTCAATATAATTGTGTTGGAAATGCAGGCAGCTTTAATGTAAGGGACCGTTTGGAAAGCAAGAAAATGACTCCTGGAAAATGTTTTTTTCCGGAAAACATTTTCCTTTTTCGTGTTTGGTTGTATTCTGACAAACTGTTTTTGTGTGTTTGGTTCATTTTTTGGAAATCGAGCAGAATTATATAATTAAACATTTTAATTATTTTATTTAGAATATTACAACATGTATAATAATATATAATAATACAATAATAATTTTAAATATAATAAAAAAATAACTAATAATATATCAAAAATATTATGGTGGTGGTGGTGGTGGTGTGGTAGTGGTGTTATTTGTTATATAATAATAATAATAATAATAATAATAATAATAATAATAATAATAATTGGTGGTGGTATAACGGTGGTGGCAGTGGTGGTGGTGATGATGGTGTGGTGGCGGTGGTTGCGGTGGTATGGTGGTGGTGGTGATTGTGTGGTGGCGGTGGTTGCGGTGGTATGGTGGCGGCAACGACGGTGGTTGCGGTGGTATGGTGGTGGTGGTGGGGGCGGTGGTATGGTCGTGGTGGTGGCGACGGCGGTGGTGTGATGGTAATGGTGGTGTGGTGGTGGTGGCGGTGGTTGCGGTGGTGGCGACGGCGGCGACGGTGGTTGCGATGGTACGGTGGTGGTGGCCGCCGCAGCGGTGGTGGTAGTGGTGGTGGTAGCGGCGGCGACGGTGGTTGCGGTAGTATGATGGTGGTAGTGGCGGCGGCGGTGGTAGTGGTGGTGGTGTGATGGTGGTGGTGTGGTGGCGGTGGTATGGTGGTGGTGGCGGCTGTGGTATGGTGTTGATGGTGGTGGTAGTGGTTGCGGTGGTATGGTGTTGGTGGTGGTGTGATGGTGGTGGTGTGGTGGCGGTGGTTGCGGTGGTATAGTGGTAGTGGTGGCGACAGTAGTGGTGGTGATGGTGGTAGTGAGGTGGTGGTGGTATGGTGTTGATGATGTTGGTGTAAAAGTTGGAAAATGACTTCCCAAAAAAAGGGGAAGTCATTTTCATCCAAAACAAGCCTATTTTCCAAAGTCAATGGAAAATGATTTCCGTTGACTTGATTTTCCAGGCACATCCAAACAATGGAAACATGGAAAATGATTTCCAGAACTCATTTTCCAGATTTTCAAACACACCCTAAATCACTAAAATATCCCATTTTCCAACCGAACAAATTTGTCTTAAAAGAATACATCAAATTCTATTATATGCACTCACAATTTTCACTCTTTCACTTAGGGGGGTGTATTCAATCATGACTTTTATAGAGTTTTAAAGACTTTTATAATGGTAGATTTTAAAAAACTTTCATTGACTTTCATAGAGTTGTTCAAAACTTTTTAAAACTTTATAAGACTCTATAAAAGTCTATATAAAAAACATTCATAGACTTTTATCAACTTTTTATTTTAAAAAGTCTACAAAAGTCATTGAAATTCTAAATTGAATACATCCTTACAAACTTTCAATGATTTTGATTCTTATCATTTATATAATTTTCTTACAAAACATTTATAATATATCATAAAATTTTCTTATTATATAGTTCTTCACCCACATCAACATTCTCAACATTATTATTTATCTCCATAGTATGTAGGTTGAGACTTATATGCTAATTACTTATATATATTATTAATAAACAAAAAAAAATTTATTTCATTAGAAATTCATAATAATATTGAATAATAAAATTTATAATAAAAGAATAGATCAAATAAAATATTTAAAAATATAATTACAAGTTGCATAAAATAAAAAAAATTAATATTTATAATATATATATATATATATATATATATATATATATATATATATATATATATATATATATATATATATATATATATATATATATATATACTTGATATATTGTTAGGAATCACGCAAAGAACTATTATATTTGTAATAAGAGACTCCGAACAACAAGAAGGTACTACTGTTTGCAACCCCAAATTGTTGTTGCGAATAGTAGTTCGCTATTCGTAGTAACTTGTTAAAAATAAAAAATATATATATTACGAATATAAACATAAAAAGAATAAAAATCAAAATATATAAGTATTTATATGAATATTATGAAACAAAAATAATATTAGGGATAAAAAATTCATTGAAAAAATAAAAATCAATATAAACAAGCAATAATGAAGTAAAAATAATATTATTTCGAATTTTTAGAGGAAGATTGTAAAGTTTAGGAGAGAGAAAAAAATTGGTAGAGTGTTAGGTATGAGGAAAATATGGGATAATGAAGAAAAAATTAATTTTATTAAATTTAGATAGGTTTATAATGTTTAAACAAGGAGAAAAATAGAGTTTAAATAGAGAGAGAAAACATTCAAAGTTGTTAGAAAGAAAATTTTGAAATCTTGGAGTTGGTGGTTGGATTTCAACTATTTATATTTGAGAAGGAAAAGTCTACAAAAGTCTTAAAATTAAAAAGTCTACAAAAGTTCATAACTTTTTGAATACCACGTGACTTTTAAAGACTCTCAAAAAGTCTTAATCGAATACCACACGACTTTTAAAAACTCTTTAAAAATCTTGATTGAATATCGCCTGACTTTTAAAGACTCTCTAAAAGTTTGAATTGAATACCCCCAAACTTTTAAAGTTCATAAAAGTCTTTAAAACTCTATGAAAGTCATGATTGAATACACCCCTCTTAATTAAAGAGTTAAAGTTCATAATATAAGCAATAAGGATAACCACGGGGACGGTTCAAATCAAATTGGACACTGTAGCAATTGAATAGAAACCCAAAAGGTTTCGGTTCGAGTTTGATAAAATCGGGAACCGGTTAGTTCATGTTCCAAATAGAAAAACAAATAATTAAATAGAAAAATTTTAGAAAAGGTTGAAATGCCTGCCACCTATAACTTGAAATTTCAATAAAATATATAAACAACGTAATCTTGGTAAAATTAAGTGCAAGTCAAAAATTATTTTTATTTTTAGTTTAATTTTAAAGTTTAAATATTTGTTATAACCATTTTTAAAAAATTTTAAAATGATTTTTTTTAATAATTATTGAATTTGGACTATTTTAAAAATAGAAAATATAATTTACACAAAAAAAAAAAAATCAATTTTGAACTAGCGATTCAAACTAGAAACGAAACAAGAACCTTCAAAGGTTCTGGTTCTGGTTTGTCATTTTCCGAAACTTGTTTTCCCCTTTAATTTGTTTCCTTTGTCACTGAATAATTATGGAGGATTGTGAGTTTTTGGTTGCCAGCTTTTATAGAGAAATCATGCATACCTATCAACTCTCCTGTGAGACCTCTTGAGATATTCAAAGATATTAATTAATTATCTTGTTTGGTGTTTTCTATGTGTCATTTTATTTTTCTAATAATATTTGTATTTATTATCTCATATTTTCAATATCTTGATAGCACTATATATGCCGTGCTTATATTAAGATTTAAGACAATACATAACACATCAATTTTTCTTCTTCTTATTTATTTGTATTTTACAAGACTGTCTCACGAATCTTTATCTGTGAAACATGTCTGGCTAAGATGAAATTAAAATGTAATATTTATAGTGAAAAATGTATTATTAATAATGAGTAAAATGTACCTTCAACAATAAGTACAGTAGATCAGATCACTGTTGCCTAATGGGAGCAAGCTCTCCCAAGTGCTAAATGGACCAATCAGAAAAAACTTTGCATGCATGAAGATAACTTAATACAGTACATCACGGTTGACCAATCGGAAGAAGCTCTCTGAATTGCTAAATGGACCAACCATGCATAAGACAGTGATAAAGCAAGCATACACTTGAATCTATTGTTTAATTTAACTAGATGATTAAATTTGAAATAAAATCATACTCAAAAGATCTATTACAGTCAAATTAAAAATCAAAAATAAAAATTGATAAATTAGTCAATGAGGGAAATTAAGATTCATATTATTTCTTTAATGTAAAAGTAAATGCTTCATTGGAATTTTTTGTTGGTTTTTGTCAGAAAGAAAAAAATTATGCATTGATTTTTGACAAATGGAGAACATGGTTTATGATAGATATAGACGTGTATAGTAATAATGATGAAGTTATCAATGTTAGAATTTAAAAGTAACGGTGTTATAACGGTGTAAGGGTAGTTTTGTCTAACAAAAATGTAGTAGGGACAATTTTGTCTAATAACATTGAAGTGCACAACATTTAAAGTAAAATGTATACATTTATTAGCATACAAAAACAAGGACATAAATTAAGGATATAATCTTGATCCAGACTTATTATGTTTTTAGAATTATATCTAATTTCTTAACAAGAAACCACATTTTCATGGCTATATTATATTATTAATTAGGGGAATAGGTTCAAAGAGTAGAGTTTGGATATGAGTCTGAGTCTCAAAATTCTTGGAATTGATGCCATGCCCATCTCCATGTTGATACATGCACTGAGCCATTCTAGCAATGTTCATCGCAGCTTCAATGAATGTTCCGGAGAAAGGGCTACCACCTTCAATTCGAACTTTATTCATTTTCTTCCATATCTCATTCATCTCCAAATCAATGAAATCACGAGCGTCGTTGGCAGAAACTTTAGCCTCACCCATGTAGCATTGTATTGCTTTTGGGACATCACCTCTTTTCATCTCATACTAAAATATTTTCAAAGTAAATAACTTGCATATGTATATCTCCAAGAATATTTAAAAAAAAAAAACAAACAAACAAAAACATAAATACATACATATAATAATAATATAGAAAAAGTTTAGTAATAATCAAGAATATAAAAGAAGGGGGAACCCCGCCCAGTAATACCGTTGATTTAGGAAACACAAGGTTTAAGTTCAACTTTTCATATGAAAATGATATATTGACTTTCTTAATTTGAATTGGTCTGTGATTCTATGCACAACATAGGTTGTTTATTTCCTTGTTGTCCTTTAATGGCTAGGGTTAGCTTTTTTTACTCGAATCGGTTTTCTATGGACAATATAGGCGGGTTTACCTTCTTGAAACCTTCTCGTGCTTATTTTGCTGATTAGAGTCGCAAGACGATATTTACCATGTGCACAACATCGGGTAGTGGTTGCAGATTTTCCTCGTCGTCAGAATTTTTTTATTGTACCAAAAACAAATGGCAAAAACTTGTGTGATATCGTCTCACCATGAGACGGGTTGGTCGGGTCAATATGAAAATTAAATGTAATACTTATACGCACAAATGTAATACTAGTTAGGAATAAAGTGTTTATTACTTTAACATTTTGATTTAAAAGTATTACATTTTTCCAAAAAAGTACTATATTTTCCCTTATAACTAACAAACACTAGCCCACATTACTCTTTTTGATGGAAAATATAATACTTTTACATAAAAATGTAAAAGTATTACATTTTCACTTATAAGTACCAAATATTTTATTCCTAATTAGTATTACATTTGAGCAGAAGTATGACACATTTGCATGTTGATCCGACCCGTTTCACATATAAGGATGAGACGATCTCACACAAGTGTAACCCACCAGATCTGACCCGTCTCACAAATAAGGATCATTGAGACGAGATCTCATCATACAAGTGTAACCCAAAACAAATTAATCAGGGGTGTTCAATTTTTGCCAGCACCCTCTTTGTCGTTCAAGCCCATCATACCTAGCTAGTTTTACTAGTGTGTTGTTTACCTCTCATGTGATTTGAAGGTCTATTATACAGGGAAGGAGTTTATCCAGCCCACACCCTCAGATACTGGTTATGAATTTCCTCGTCATCCCAAAAACAAATCGAATTAAAAAACATAAATAAGTGAAAGGAATTTGTACATACAGGTGAGGTGCCTTTATCATTTGCAAGACGAAGGATCATAGATGACAGGCGAATTATTTGATGATAATCTGTCAAGCAATGCAGGGCAGCAGAATCCTCCACTGGGTTGTTGACATAGAAAAACCCATGAACTAATATTAGAGGACAACTTATTGAAATCCATGAATTTTCAATGTATTCTTCAAAGGTTGGAGTGTATCCACTGTCGTACCACTTTGCTTCTTGTAAATATGCCTTGCATAGATCTGCCCACTGTTCATGCACTCATAAAAAAATTAAAATTAAAATTATATAACGTGATATTAGTTAATTAATTGATTAAAATTAGATTTATAATTTTTAATCAAAATAATAGAAAATACCGATTTTTTGAGGTAATGTGCAATAGAGATGCCATGTTCCTTAAAAACATCGAATGCGACTTCATTAACGAAGTTGTGGAGTGCCAAATAGCAAAACCTCATGTACTCTGGGAGATGTCTTATTTCTGTAACATCATCCCATCTGAAAAATCCGAGTTTGTTAGACAATATCTATATATTTTTTTTTTTATAAAAAAAAAAACAATTCTAATTAGATATGTATTTAGCAACTTAAATTTATACTCTTTTTTGAAAGTGACGAGAGAAATTTATAGTCATTGTCCAAGTGTGTGCACGGGTAAACTTATTCATAGCCCATAAATCATGTACGAGAGGTAAGACTTATGTGAGGGGTTCGACCAAATAAAGTGTTGGTAATAAATTCACACATTTTTTAAATTCAAAATAGTGAATTATGTTACCAATAATATATAACTTCTGGGACAATCGCAATAAAGTTTGTCTGCCTATGTATTTGCATGACCCCTGCAGATTTAACCTTATCTACACCCAGAGCCATTACCCTAGCAGTTCTGTGTGGAAACTTATATTCTGGCATAACAGCGGGAGAACCTAACAAAATATTACGGCCGCCTAACTAACATAGGGGCCGGAGGGATAGTAAACTCAGCCAAATTACGACACTCGAAGGGCGTGACACGCACAATCCTATCCTATTCGAGTTTGAGTTTACTCCTTGCACTTCGGACAGTCGTCCATAGCATTATAAGGAGGACCCCCTTTCGAATTGTTGACAAGTTTGACTCCTAGTGAGAGCGGCTTATTATTCTTCTTGATTTGAACTCGTCAGCTACGACCAACCTACAATATTTACCTCTTAGTTTATTCGTGCACACTTTCAAATACTGATTGCGAGTTACTGCGATATATATATATATATATATATATATATATATATATATATATATATATATATATATATATTTTGAAAGGTTCCCGTGCGGTGGATTAATGTGCGTGAGATTTGTACTCAATGTGCGTGAGTGTTGTGCTTAATGTGCCTGAGATTTGTACTTAATGTGCGTGAATGTGCAAAAAATATTGATGTCAGCTTCTTCCCCATCCCCAGTATCCATTTGCCCCCTCCCTAATGATGATGATGCGGAGGCGGCTATGGTGGTTAAAAATTATAGGAATAATACAACAGAAATCCACACTTAGCTGCTGTGCAAATTTTACTGTGCGTGCGTCATTTATATAAACATTCAACTGCACTGAAGGTAGCTGATAATCCAGAATCCATGGCCAAATTGAAGGAAGAAGTAACAAGAAGCTTGGGCGTTAATGTGCACGAGTTTCTGTTCTGCTTCCTTCTGAGTTCGTAATTCTGAAATACGCACGCACGCACAAATCTCACGCACATTAAACACAATACTCAGGCACATTAAGTACAAAACTCACGCATATTAACATGACGCACATTAAGTACAAATCTCAGGCACATTCAGTACAAATCTCAGGCACATTAAGTATAAACCTCACGCACATTAATCCACCGCACATCCGCACGGGAAGCAACAAATGCACCTGATCCCTTCCCTATATATATATATATATATATATATATATATATATATATATATATATATATATATATATATATATAAGTTCAAATATTGATGTGTATAGCATAATTGTTATATATATAAGGTTACCTTTCAATGGCGTCGGTGAAGAGCTGCAATTCATCCAAGGTACCAAAAACATCATACATATCATCAATTGTGCAAATGAAGCAATTGAGCTTTGCTCCTATTCTTCTGCAGTTTACATACTTAGGGTTGAAGCTCGATCCGACTGTCCAGAAGAAATTCTCTACCACTCTATCCCTCACAAATGTTAATCTTTCTGGTATTAGTGATTTCTTCCACCACCTGAATTGCAAGGTTAATTTAGAGTTTAAATCTTATAGGTGAAGTAAACAAGAATAGCTTAGCATAACTAAAGTATGATAGTAACTCAACTTTAATTTGAATGAGTCCAGGCATTAAGTGGTTGTTTTATCTAGAAATCTTATTTACTAGAGATGAAAAATCAAAATAAATAAGATAAAAAAATATTTAAAACAAATATAAAACATAATTAATTAAATAAAATAGTTTGAATGAAAAACACATTATAAATCACTCATTTCACTATTAATATTTTTTTTTTTAAAGAGAAGAGTCACAACTTTAAAAATAAAAAAATCCAATTAAAAAAAAAAAAGAGGAAAAAGAAAAAATTCGGAAACAAAATTAAGTGCTCTGGGTTCAAATCACTGACTATTTCATATTATATTATATAGAAATAATATTGCGCCTTACCATCTAAGTCAAATTAACCTTTGTTTAAATTTTGGTATATTTAATATATATACAATATATATGAGGGGGCGTGACCTTGGACAAGGGCAGACTGGTCCCCAGCTCTACCTAGGACACAATGCTAAAAAAAGTTGTTATTTATTTATTTTACTTTGTTCCGGACTATACAATGATAGGACGAACCTTAACTCCCATTAGTAACCCACATACCTTGCCACAAATTTTAAGTCCTCCATATGTAAAGCTTGAACAATGTTGAAGTCTAATTTAGCCAACTCCAAAAGGATGGGATCTGAGGTTGGTTTTCCTTGGTATGAATTGATGAAAAATGTAGCCTCCAACCTTGGCACCCTCCAATGCAATGGAACCTCTAAGGCATGTTGCACTAATGCCAAAAGGTTTGGGTCATTGAGATTTTGGTCGTAGGCTACTCGTTTGAGATGTTTGGCAGAGAAATTTTTGGCCATTTCCAAAGTTGTTTCACCTTCTTTTGACAGAAAAGATGCTTCATATAAGTTCAGTAATCCCTTAATATCTTGGCCAAGGTTGACATTAAATCTAGACCGTCTTCCATCCATGAAACAATCAAATACCTCTGCATTTAAGAGTTCATTATATATTTATACATGTAAAGTTATACACACATAGAGAATCAAGCTCAAATGAGAATTACTATATTATATTCTCCGATCCATGAGAACGTAACTAATCTCATTGTTCATCTAAGATCATCAACGACAGAAAATTTTAAGTTTGGAGAAAAGATTCAAAATGCACAATCAGTTATTTGAGAAATGCATTATCAGGCTGCAGGCATTACAAGATGCACAATAATTATAGAAGTAATTCCAGAAATGCCACAACGTTTTTTAGAAAAATACTTGATAGTGCATTTGGATTTTGGAGAAGTTTTCAGATGCATAATCAGTTATCCGCAAATGCACAATAGGAATAATTAGCAATTCTTCTCTCAAAAGGTTGAACCCTCATCCCCAAGGACCCCCATACTTCGGCCCAAGAGAGAATTTGGGAGGGTGTAAATCACTGTGACTCAATGGCTCATCAGATAGGGCCAAAGAAGAGATCTGTCCACTTTGTGCATAATCCCACACTGCCACCCCCAAGGTTCAAACGTTGATCTCTTCCTCCAAATACTATTTACTGAACCAATGAGCTAAACCCGTTTAGATTCTTGATTTTGTAGTTCGGAGTATTTGGTATGCATGTGAATTTGTTTAATTTGTACAGGATCCTAAGTCAAGCTATAGAAGTTAGTGTATTTACCTTGAGAGATGTTGAAGCCATTTTGTCTGAGCACTCTAAACTCAAGAGCTGTGGCATACAAGTCCTTCTCTTCTGATGACTTGTAATTGTTACTACTCTTCTTCTTCTTCTTCATATAGATATCCATCAAAGCTGCCATGATTTCTTCCTCAAAATGGTAAGAACAACCAAGCCTCTGCAGTTCATCAATCATCTCCATTTTCTCCACTTCTTTCATCTCTTCATTCTTCAGCATATCCTTCACTCTCTCCTTCAACTCGTCGCGTCGCATAACAAAGCCCTCAGCCTGCAAGCATTTTGGCAACAAAATTTGCTTCTAGTTTCATATATATGCAAAGAAATTATTTAAAAAACTATAATTATAAAAGATGAACAAAATTACAGTATAATGAGTGGTGTTGAGTGATTGAATGTAAGAGTAATCCCAGGTGGGAGGCTCATAATTGCCAGATCTTCTTGTAGTAGTTGTGGTGTGATAACACATGCTAAATGAAGATTCTGCATGAGATCTATGAATAGATGGCAGGCAAGAAAGTTTGTATGTGAAAGTAGAGAGCACATTGAGGATTGCCATTTCCTTTTTCTCTATTTTTTAGTATTCCTGTTTTGGGTTGCAATTTTTATTATATATATATAAAGGGCAACCTCAGCTAAGTTGGTCAGACCATTGATTTAGTAACCAGGTTATAAGTTCAACTTTCGGTGGAAACGACCTATTAGCCTTCTTGGTTTGAACCAGTCATGACCAGTTCTGGGTAATTTAGGCGTGCTAGCTGCTTTATCTCTTTTTGGTTTTTTGTCGGATCATAAGGCCAGCGGACTGGCTGAGTTTACCCAGTATACACCCCTCAAGTAGTGGTTGTAAATTTCTCTAGTAACCTAAAAAGAAAAAAAAGGTTTATATATATATATATATATATATATATATATATATATATATATATATATATATATATATATATATATATATATATAAAATATGTTGAGTTCCTCTGATCTGGGTACTGTGGTTGCATAATGTTTTAAATGCCTCTGAGAAACGTAACCAACATGGCAAGGCATCATCAACTAACAAAGACTACCTAACCTATTCTTCACCATGTAAAACGTTTTCAATCATAGTTCCCTTCTTCTCAAGGATTTGCAAGTTGGGACCTACATATGTCGGCAAAAGATCATCATTTGTAACAATATGTTTCACACTTGCTAAAAGAAAAATATAAACATATATATACTCGCTCAATATGAAACGGAGATTTGAAGGGATAAGTCCAACGTCTTACTATTGAAACGCGGTGCTGATTAATATACAAATACAGTGAAATAAAGTTGCATATTCATTACTATTAAGATCAAACACCTGTTGGAATCAAGTACTACTATACCAAAAGTTATAGATAGTAGCAAACGTAACGTTCGTTCAACGATTACTAGTTATAATTTTGGCATAGTACTAGTTAGTGCTTAATCTTGACAAGAGTCCTGTCTTTTCAAATTTCTTTTCCCAACTTTATGGTGGGTTTTGTTTCTTATTCACTCATTAATTATTTTGAGTATATATACAAAATTCATCACCCTTAAATAAAATCTCAAAATGAATTATTGAGGTAGAAAATGAATGCTACGATTCTGTGGCTGGAAGAAGGTCCCCTTACCTGATGCTGCTGTCAAACTCAGAATCTATACAGGTGGATTGGTCATTATTAGAGCATCTTCATTTGGATTTTATTTTATTTTATTTTATTTTTTTGTCATAGAGAAAAAATTATGCATTGATTTTTGACAAATGGAGAGCATGGTTTATGATAGATATAGGTGTATAGTAATAATGATGAAGTTATCAATGTTAGAATTAAAAAGTAAGGTAACAGTGTTATTATAAAAGTGTAAGGATAGTTTTGTCTAACAAGAATGTAGTAGGGACAATTTTGTCTAATAACATTGAAGTGTACAATATTTAAAGTAAAATGTATACATTTATTAGCATACAAAAACAAGGACATAAATCAAAGATATAACCTTGATTGAGACTTATTATGTTTTTAGAATTATATCTAATTTCTTAACAAGAAACCACATTTTCATGGCTATATTATATTATTAATTAGGGGAATAGGTTCAAAGAGTACAGTTTGGATACGAGTCTGAGTCTCAAAATTCTTGGAATTTATGCCATGCCCATCTCCATGTTGATACATGCACTGAGCCATTCTAGCAATGTTCATCGCAGCTTCAATGAATGTTCCGGAGAAAGGGCTACCACCTTCAAGTAGAACTTTATTCATTTTCTTCCATATCTCATTCATCTCCAAATCAATGAAACCACGAGCCTCGTTCACAGAAGCTTTAGCCTCACCCATGTAACATTGTATTGCTTTTGGGACATCACCCCTTTTCATCTCATCCTAAAATATTTAAAAAAAAAAATGAATAGAATAAAAAAAAAAAAAAACAAAACTTAATTAGAGAAAGAATATATGAAGGATAATGTTGTATATGTCTCATATGTTATTGTAACATATATGACAGGTATTGGAGTGTAGTAGAGAGACAACACATGTTTCTACGATTTGAACCCGAACCAGGTTCGCTGGATGGGTTGGGGTGTGACCTGGAGTGCTGGTACAATACATGGATAATTTTGTAAATATACAGTTAGGGTTGTCTATATGTAACCTTGAATGTTTTATCATAACAATTAATTAAAAAATTAAAAATGGGTTGGAGCATAGTGGAGCAACAACACCCATTTCAGTGGTTAGAACCCGAACCAGGTTCACTAAGCAGGTTGGGGTTGTGGGGCACTAGTGTGGTACATGAGTAATTTTGTAAATGTACGTTTAGGGTGATCTATTTGTAACCTTGGGATGTTTTATGTTGGGCGTCGGCCGGGTTGGCTGAGTTCAACCCCTGCTCGATTCGAGACGTGACGCTTTGGCTTACCATGGAGAGATGTGGTTAAATGATTAATGTCCACTTACCTATCACCAATTGGTTTTAAGTAGGATATGGCAACCAGATACCTTAGAAACATTTTATAATCACAATTAATAAAAAGGGGTATGGTGTTGGAGCACCGATTTTCATGGTTAGAACCCAAACAAGGTTAGCTGGGTGGGTTGGGGTGCGGGAACGCTGGTACAGTATAGGGATAATTTTTTAAATGTACATTAGGGTTTTCCATTTGAAACCTAAATGTTTTATCATCACAATTAATAACAGATTTATACTTACAGGTGAGGTTCCTTTATCATTTGCAAGACGAAGGATCATAGATGACAGACGGATTATTTCATGATAATCTGTCAAGCAATGAAGGGCAGCAGAATACTCCGCAGGGTTAACGTTGTTGACATAGAAAAAAACATGCACTAATATTAGCGGACAGCTTATTGAAATCCATGCATTTTCTATGTATTCTTCAAAGGTTGGGGTGTATCCACTGTCGTACCACTTTGCCTCTTGTAAGTATGCTTTGCATAGATCTGCCCACTGATCATATATACTCTCATCAAAATATATGGATAATGGATGTTATAATAATATTAAGAAATGAGGGTCAAATTAGTCATTAAATTACACTGAAAAATGTAATTGAGCCATCCAATTCAATTAAAACAAATACAATTAACTATTTAAACAAGCTAAATTAATATATTCCAGCAATTAGGTCAAAAGTGACCGATTCTCCAGGTTAGTCGTTGACATGACGATTAACCTTTAATAAATTATTTTATTCATTTTAAATAAAAATATTAATATCAATGACCTTTTGGTGTAGTGACACGAAGTGGCACTACTGAAAATTATGAAATTTACGATCATCTGAAAAGTGATTTTAAATCAAGTTGATACCAAAAAGTGGTCGGAAATAGCAACAAAAGTTTTTCCGGATACCAAAAGTGGTCGGAACAAGACTTTTGACTTGATTTAAAATTACTTTTAGGTGGTCGGAAATTCCATAATTTCCAGTAGTGTGGCCATGAGTTTGATCCCCAGTGGAAACAGTATTAACTCTTTGTGTTTCAGTAAGAAGAAAAGTCTACACTTCGTCTCTGACCAGAGACGAAGCTAAGTTTGCACTTTGTCTCCGACCAACGATGACGAAGGGGAGCACAGATGGGGGTTTGGTTTTTTTTTTTTTTTTTTTTTAAAAAAATTATAAATAAAATAATTTATTAAATGTTAAGTGTCACTTTTTAACCTGAGGAGTCTATTGTATTTTTTAAAATTGTATGACCTAAATGCATTTTCGTGTGTAGTTTATTTGCTAATTTGATCCTTATTCTAATATATTAATTAATTGATTTAATTAATTTATCAAAACAAAATGACAAAAACTTGTGTGAGACCGTCTCACGGGTATCAATTTGTGAGACGGATCAAATCTTTTATTAATGAGTTCAAAAATCCGACCCATTAATTAAAGATTTGACTCATTAATCAAATATTCGACTCCTCTCATGGATTGAGACCCGTGTGACGGTCTCATACAAGTATTACCCAAACAAAATTAATGGCTTTTGAGAATACCGATTTTCTGAGATGATGCAAGATAAAGATGCCATGTTCTTTAAGAATATCGTATGCAACTTCATTGACGAAGTTGTTGAGTGCCAAATAGCATAACCTCATGTAGTCCGGGAGATGTTCTACTTTTGTTTCATCATCCCATCTGAAACAATGATCAAATGATCTTGATGTCATATAAGAACAACCTTAAAAAAAATAAAAAACAAAATTGAAAAATGAGGAACAATTCTTCATTTTACTAACCCCAAAGACTTTGATAAGCTAATAGTTACCTTTCAACGGTATCAGTGAAGAGCTGCAATTCATCCAAACTACCATAAACATCATATATATCATCAATTGTGCAAATGAGACAGTTGAGCTTTGTCCCCATTCTTCTGCAGTTTACATACTTAGGGTTGGGGATAAATCCTACTGTCCAGAAAAAGTTCTCCACCACTCTATCCCTCACAAATGTTAACCTTTCTGCAATATACGACTTCTCCCACCACCTACATAGAAAAAAAAAATGCTTATATATTGAATAAGGCCCGACACTAGCTTGACTCTAAATAAGTCACAACATAATATGTACATTTAGCTGATAACTGTTAGCTGATTGGGTTAATTAGTAGGTTTAACTAGTTCATAACATTTAAACATTATTTGATTGTAGAAAAATGTTTAGTAAATTAGCTGTTAGTTGGTAGCTGATTAAATGCAAAATGACTTTCTCAAAAAACTGTATCGGAACAACTGTTTTGAACATTTTTTTGAATTTTAGCATTGTGAAGCAATAAGTTGTTACAAAAAGCTAATTAAACAGGGCCAATGTGTACCTTGATACGGATCTTAAGTCCTCCAAATGCACAGCTTGAACAATGTTGAAGTCTAGCTTAGCCAACTCCAAAAGGATGGCATTATTCGAGGTTGTTTTTCCTTTGTCGTATGAATCAATGAAACCTCTGGCCTCCAACCTCGGCATCCTCCAATGTAATGGCATCTTTAATTCATGTTTGAGATGCTTGGAAGAGAAATCTCTACCCAATTCCAAACTTGTTTCACCTTCCATTGACAGAAAAGATGATTCATACAA